GAGAATAGAAATAAGTAGTATGAACAGATTATGCGCACAACAGCGTCCCTACTTGGGTTAGATATAAAAAGGCCGAAGAGAATGGTGATGTTGGTAATGAAAAAGATTTTCAGTCATATATGAAATTAGTTCAATGAATAATCTTCATGATGTTTACAATCTACAGACCCCTGCCAAAAGTTTCTGAACACTTTTTTACCCAATATTAAACTCAAAATTTTTATGTAAAACAATAAAATGTTTATATAAATTTATTTTAAATTAATAAAGCTCTAAATTTTGTATTAAGCAACTAATACTTAGTTGGGCCTCCTTGCACAGCAATAACAGCTTGAATTCGCTACGGCATACTATCGACCAAGTCTTTGATAGTCTTTTTTAGAATTTTCTTTCATACTCTTTTAACATATCGTTCAAGATCAGCAAGGTTAGATGGCTTTTTCTTTTGTTCACTAATATTTTTCTTTACCTTAACCCACAGATTCTCAATTGGATTGAGATCTGGACTTTAAACCAGCCAAGGTAATACATGCAAGTCATTTTCAGCTTGAAATGCCATTGCAACCTTTGATTTGTGAGGGCGAGCATTATCTTCTTGGAACCAACCATTACCATTTGGAAATACTCGCCTCATGGTTGGTTTAACATACTTGTAAAGAATTTCAACATGTGAAGCACCAGTTGCAGTTCCAGTTAATGGTACAATTAGACCTAAACCTTGTCTTGAAAAGCATCCCCAGTGCATTCGACTAGGACTATGCTTTACTGTAGTAGCAATACAAGAAGGTTTCCATTTGTCCTCAGGTTCTCGCCACACTCTGCTACAACGATTCTGTTAAAACTGGGTAAAAGTTGATTCATCACTTCACATAACTTTTACCCAGTCTTCCTTTGTCCAGCTCTGATATTCCAAACGCTATGCAAGATGAGCTTTCTTATTTGCAGGTGATATGAGAGGCTTTCGTCGAGCAAAACAGTTTCTTAATCTAAGAGAACAGAGTGTTCAGCCAATGGTACGATCTGAAACATCCTACTCAGTTTTCTTTTTCTAAAGCTGCTGTACTCCAGCAGTGCAAAGACGACGATTATTTAATTTATCATTTGTCACAAGCTTCTTAAGCTGATTTCATTGAGATTCCTTAATCAGAGGTGGTCTTCCAAAGTGAAGCTTCAAGCTGGTTGATCCTGTATCACTAAATCGTTTCAAAGTGTCAAAAACAGTTAATACTCCACAATTGACAGTCTCTGCAATAGTTCGATAACTGTTATCACGTTGATGACAGTAAAGAATAGCATCACGTTGTTCTTTAGTTAATTCTTGATTTCTTTCCATTGTTATTTACTATTTCAATTATCTTCAGAGAAAAGAAGAGTTTGTTTGTTTTTATTTTGAGGTAAGTCAAAATAACGCATTTTTTATTATAAATTAACATAAATAAACATCGTAACTTCTTATGACCGCAGTATCATTTGGTCATGTGACATAACAATGTATTTATTTGCATTTAAACTTGATGTTCAGAAATTTTTGGTGGGGGTCTGTAGATAAAGAAAGCTGAAACTATAATAGAATGTCTAATATGCTTTGAGCATAAAATATCCACATTATCTCTTATTTAAATTTTCTATTACCCATCATTTACATAAAAGTGACACTTATCATATATTACTTGCATTATTTACTTCTCTTCTGACTTAAGCTGTGATTCTAAAATAATATCTAACATATCACCATTAAAATCTTTCATAGATTTTTTATATTTAAACATCTTCTTCAATCATTCTTTTTTATATATTACTATATCTGGCCACTCATGCCTATCATAATAAACTTTTTTTTTCTCATCATATTTATATTCCTATATATATATATAACTTCAGCAAATTCTTTCAGAAATCGTGTCTTTTTTATATATTTCATCAATTTTAGAAATACTGTTTTCTTAATATGTATTTTTAGGTTTTAAGAGAATTTAATTCAGGTGCTTATTACCGTAACTATATCTGGCATTCTTCCTTAAATCTTCATCATCTAACAAACTTTCCAATTTTAAATGTTTCTCTTGACGATAAGCAAGAAGCTCTCCTATTTTTATAATTAAGCTTCCCATTTCTGAATACATTTCACCATATAATCGCTTTTATTTCATATTATTTGTGCAATATTATTGCTAGCATCCATTTTACTTTATTCATTTAATAACAGCTGAATAAACCTACGTATACTTAATTGATATAAATAGTCATAGATAAATAATTTTTTCATTTTCTTTTATAGATTTTAATAATAAATATTATTTATTTATTTTTTCTAAACGTATATATAGATTATTAGTAAAAAATAAAGAATCCTGTGTAATTTCTAGAAATGGTTGTGATGGTGATAAAAGCAAAGAATTTTCTGAAATCAGACGTGATAAGAATGCTTTTTAAATGCTTTTTCAGAACTTTTAAAAAATGTATTAAGTATTCTCATTTCTTTTACAGCTTCTTTTAACTCCTCTTTTTTTATTTTTTTCCTTCAGAATATGATTCTTAAATTTCTAGTATATGTTGCTCTAATGCTATAAGTAGCATCCTTCTGTCAATGAAAAGTTTCAGTAATAAGCTTCTTTCCTATTTTCTCAAATTCTCTCAAGTCTTCTATTGTCTAATCTTCAACAGTCTCATCCTCTTCTGTTGATTCAATAATAACTTCATCTTCTATCTATTCTTTATCTTTTTTAATAGCCTTTACTTCTTCCATGATAGTTTCCTTCATAATAATTTGATCTTAAGATATATAGCGTCCTTTTTTTTAGGTATTTTATCAACTTGCTTTTATCTCTTTATTTTATGTGTTATTTCAAAAGTATGATTAGTTTTCAAATTTAAATATAAAAAAAATTTTAGTTATTGGCTTAAAAAAAAATTAATTTATCAAATTAAAAAATATCTGAGTATAATTAATTGTAATAATTCAGATCAGAGTTAAATTATTATAATATTAGCCTGAATTATCATAAGTCTTAACTAATAAAATTACATTCACATAATTTGATATTGTTTCAAATTTAGGCTGATTATATAAAAATCATGCAATTTTAAATGCTTATAACTTTTTATCTAAATTTTTTTTCAGAAATCTAACTGGTAATTTAATAGTATTCATCTTAAAGAATAAAGTTACTGATTTATTTTTTTAAAATTTTATTTTTTAAAATACTAAAAAATTTTAAGTATTATAATTTAATTGTTAAGTATAAATTTCCAGTACTATAAGACTTGCCAGTTGAATATTTAAATGAAAATATAAATTGAAACAGAGCTTGCTAGTTGGTAATAAATTTGCAAATTCAAATATAACTAATTATATTATTTTAATATATTAAAATAATCTGACTGAAATTTATTATATATTATTAATATAATATTTAAAATGCGATTTTGAAAAAACTTTTATTTTATTATTAATATTACAAATATAATTAATATCTTATTACTGTATACTATTGTGACTATTATTGTAGAAGTGTATTATAAGAGTGGCTATTGTAAGCACTCTCAATGACTACCTTTAAAAAACTCTTGTAATCATCAATCATCTAATTTGAATCGTTTGTTGATACTAATTTCTCTTCATCATAAACTTGATCTGTATTGTAAATATGAACTTATTTCTTGAGAACCTTTGATGTTTCAATAAATATTCTGTCTATATAGTCATACAGAAATGATTATAGTTACAAATAAAAGAAAATAAGTAGAGTTTATAACAAAAAATGATAATATTCATCAAACTTACAATTTCAAATGCCAATTTAAGTCTTTTATTACAATTGTTCTTAGCCTAGTAGGATTTTCTTGATCAGATTCTAATAATTTAGGAGAATGGTATACTGATTGAGTCATGATTGGTTGAAGTTCATGTATTTTAAACAATTTAATTACAGGATCATTTATCGATTCTAGATAATTTATTATTCTTGTTCTATTTGTTCGTTTCTATAATTGAATAATGATAATTAATAATAAATAAAGGAATTAGAATAAGAAAATGACTTATGTCATTTTTTCTACTATTTCTGTGTTTATTTTCTGCTTATTTTTTTAGATGGTTACTAGTTTATGTTTTCTTAGATATTCCTTACGCTAGTGCTTATACCTATTATAGATCATCTTATATACAATTTTCTCAGACATTGAAAATGTTTTATTGTTTAACTCATCTATAATAGTCTTTACCATTTTATTTACAAGCTGTTGTTAGTTAGTATACATGTTATCTAGGCCTAACCTATTATTAGGTGATATCCTATCAACTATCTAAAATATTTGACGTTAAACATAAAATATACAATTAATGTATATATAATCTATTATATGTATACTATTGAGAAAAACATTAAAATTTATTATTCTTAAACCTTCTCGAAAGTTTTCTTCTAGTTTACCAATATACATATATCTTAGAGTTTTCGATCTTCTTCTGTTGTGTCTTGAGAAATTTAATCTTTTTTTGTTACGCTTTAAAGAACTTGATCTTTTGATGCCATGTTTTTGAGAACTTGATTTTCTTTTATTACGCTTTGAAGAACTTGATCTTCTAATGTCATACCTTTAAAAATTTGATCTTCTGATGTTACATCTTTGAGAACTTAATTCTCTGATTTAACTTAAAGAGTTTATTCTTTAATACGACTTAAAAAGCTTGATCTTCTAAGCTTAGGTATGAGTTCTGAAAATGGTCTTATAACTTTCACATCTCCTTAAGCTATACTTTTCCTTACTTTTAATAGTTTCTACACTACCAGTTTTGGGTTAGTCTAAAAGAATATTCCAATTTCTTTATTTTATCTTTATTTTTAGAAATCTCTATAAGTAACTGATTTATATAATTGAATGAAAAATCATGAAATATTTTTTTATTGCCTGCTTAACAAGTTGTTTCAATAAAAAATATAAATAAGCAAGCTGATCATATCACAAATAGTAAAATAATAAATTAACCATTTTTGATTCTAAACACTTTTTATTAATCAATTCTAAATAACTATTACCATATTTGGGTTCTAAGAAAATAATAATTAATTAAATAAATAATTCCAGTAATAATAAATGCAATACTTATCAGCATCTGAAATGAGATCAGCTGTAGAAGTGACTGTCAGATTAGCAGTAGTAGCCATATTTTCTTTAACTATAACTATAAGAATAACTATATAAATAAAAGAAATAAGTACTGCTTCTTCGACTACAACTATAAGAATAATTATGTAAACAAAAGAAATAAGTGCTACTCCTTTGACTATAACTATAAGAATAACTACATGAATGAAGAATACAAGTGCTACTTCTTTGATCACAAGCATATGAATAACTATTTGAATGAAGAAAATAAGTATTATTCTTTTTAGAATGAATATGGTTATTGAAAAAATGAATCATTAATGTTAAAAAATATCAACAGTTAAAAGATAAAGAATAGATAGCCGTTTCATACTCTTTTATATTTATTCAATCAGACTATCAGAAATTAATAAGCTTTTATAAGCCTTTTTGTAATAAGTTAATCAATTAATAATTACAAGACATTTGATCAAATACTTTTATAAAAATTAGTATAATTTGATATCAATTAAATTTATTGATAAAATTATAATTTTAATAATTTTAATATTTTAATAAATTAAAAAAAAATTTAATTTTTGGGTTGCCTATTTTACTTGAACGAACAATAAGTGATAAAAAACTACTATTAAAGGAAAATCAAAAGTATCAGTAGTATAAGTACACTTAAAAGTACTGTGTAATTATAAAAAAATAATAGAAAGTTAGCTAATTTAAGAATAAAACAAAAATATGAAACAGAAGAAAATTTTCTTCAAGCTTTTTTATATAAAATAAAAGAGAATATGAAAAAATTTAAACATTCTATACTCAATATAGATCCTATAGATGATCTTACAGATATTGGTTCTTCTTAAGATTTTTGTAAAAATGTGATTAGCTATCATTCAGATGAAGAAGCTAAGACAGTTATCAAAAAGAAATGAAAAAGATATAACTAATTTTGTAAAGTGAATAAATTTATGATTATTTCAGATAAAGAACTCGAGCAACTTGAGCAACAAGTTGATTAGTCTAATGATGAAGAAGGTTCTCATCATCTTATTGATAATGAATTAGACCTAAAAGACAAATCATTTTCAGATAATAATACTAATTTGTTTATAACTCCTGATTATACAAATATTAATTATGATTCAGATCAGAAGAATCCTATTATGAATATGGATGTAAATGATTTATGGATTCTTCTTTGGATTTTTGAATATCAAGAAAGATTTAGACTTTCTGATGTTGCAATTAACTAATTAATCAGCTTTATTAACATCATTTTGAAAGTGTTAAATTAAATCGATTTGAAAAATTTTTCCTAACTGCTTATATGGCTAAAAAGTTATTAGAAATTAAAAAAAATCAAAATCCTTCGCAATATGTTCTAATTATAACAAGTTATATAATATTATAGAAATAATACTATTAAAAATAATACTATAAAATACTGACGGGAATATAAATTTAGAATTCAAATATATTCATATTGAATTTTCCATCATTTAATGCAAAACTATTATAAAAAGTATGAGTCAGATTCGCTTAATAAGATCTCAGTAAATAATAGATACATATGACATTCAAAAATAATATTACCTATTACTGTATCTGAAAACTCAAATAGTCACAATATATCAGAGGCCTGACTTTGAAGTTTTTTATATAAATAGACTAACTGCGATATTATGATGGTGAAATATGAAAAACTTTTTCATCATTAGATGATCTAGAAGGTGGCTTATTTTTTACATCTGAATTCACAGATTCACATCTTGAGCTTATGATTAACTTTGACTAGTTCTAATCTTTTAAATTATCCGTATATAATTATAATGTGATTTACATAATCTTATGTAACCTACCATATGAAATTAGATTCAAAAAGGAGAATATACTGACTCTTGGACTTCTACCAGATTCAAATGAAGTTAAATTGTATAGAATAAACTATTATCTTACTTTAATAATTGATGAATTGTTAGAATTTTAGAATGAAGTTGATTTACCATCTACTTATAACTATTCTGACAATAAAGAAATATTAGTATAGTTGTAATTTGTTGCAAAAATGATATTCTGGCTATAAAAAAGTTATGTGATCACATATCAGCATTGGTCAAATGCTATAAGTACTATAAGAGAGCAGATAATGAAAAAGGTCATAGGCTTAATTTTGGGAAGTTTAAAGATATAAATGAATAATTTATAATAAAAGATATTATAGAATATCGAAGAAATACTATAATTTAGAAATATTAATAAACAAATAAAGATCAAAAAAATTATATTAAAAGAATTTATGTTTACTAGTCTGAATTACTTTGTATTGTCTTATTATAATCCAATTAGACATTTAGTGATAGATCTAATGCATTACTTATTTTTTAGAATTTCTCATTAGATAGTAAAGATATTATGGATTGACTGTAATAAAATCACTAAATCTTATCTTAAATTAATAGAAAAATAAGAAAAAATTATTAAAGTACCATTTGATATAGGCTAAATTCTATATAAAATAGTAATTAGAAAAGGTTTCTCTAGTTATACCATTGATCAATAGAAGCTATTTATATTAATTTATACAACTCTATTAATATAGGATTTTTTAGATATTTCCAATTATGAAATTTTAGCAAATTTTATAAAAGCTTATTACTTGCTAATTTTATGTATTATTGATAATAATATATTAAAAGAAGTACAAACTCAATTACTTTGAGTTATTATGCTAATTGAAGAATATTACAATCTAGAAGTAATTACTCTAAATATTTATTTATTCTTTCACATTGTTAAATATGTAAAGATTACAATCTATTATATTCTTATTAGTATTATTCATTTGAAAGGATGAATAATATTTTAGGTAAATTATATGTTGATTGTTAAATATTAAATTTATTTATACTTAATTACAAAGAATTTTTGACGATTTTTAGATTCTTTTTCTAATAATTAACATTAAATTAAATCTAAACTTCTACGAATAATCATACAGTATTAGAGACTTGATGGCCTTTTATTATCTAATTCAGATAATATAATATTTGTTGAAGCTTTAAAGTTAATACAGTCATGGCTAACTGCAAGAAGCTTAGCTGCATATAATAATTATGAGTTTGCTAAACTTAGCTGATTTAGGCAAATTTATCTTTTTGAAATTAAAGATATAATTACTAATGCTAAATTTTTCCTGAAGAAATGTTATTTCCTAAAAAATGAATATTAATTTATTGGATAATATATATGAAGTTCTGGTAGACTATTATAATGCAGCTTATGACTTAAAATTTGTATCTATAATGAGTTTAGTGAATCAAAAATACTCTGATCATAATGTTATTATCCTACCTCAGATTAATACATTTAAATATATTAGGATTAAAGCTGAAATCTTCAGAATAGCAAATTCACTAAGATGTTTAAGGAATTCATTCATACTTATCAAATTTGTGTAAGATGATAATTCTATTGAAGTATTCTCTGATCAGGTTCAATATTTTTTTGAATGTAAAGTTAAACTACTAGATAGAAAGCAAATTTATTAGTTGACTTATGTAAGATGATTCTTACCAGCTTTAGCAAGATTATACTGCTAAATTAATGATAATACTAAAAGCTGCAATATAGAAATTTGATCAGAAAAATTTTATGATATCAGCAGAGACTGTATCATACTAGTCCATAATATATTAGACTATTTTATACCTAATAGTCTTAAAATTGGTAAAAGAAGACCAGTTAAATATATGACCATTATCTAATTAAAAGACATTTTCATTTATAATAATAAATTATCTAATAAATTTTTAAATAATTTTCATTTAGCAATTTAAAATTTTAAGATAATATTTATTCAGCTATAAAATGTATAGATGACTATAAAGTAAACTCTAATAAGAAATCAATATTAGCAATTAATACCAATCAGAAAATAATAATAACAATCAGAAAATTCTAGTTGATCCTAAATTTAAAATAAATTAATTTCAATTGATACAAAATTAAATTAAATACTTATTATTCTTGATTTTTACATATTAATTGTTGAAGTTTACCAATAAATTCCAACTGGCATAATTGTCAATTGAAAGTATTTTGTCTATATAATATCAATTGGTAATTCTAATTGTCACTTGATTTGCAATAAATGCCAGTTGCTTTTTATTTTTACATACAAATAGTCTGGATTGACTAATATATTTCAACTGGTAATCATATCAGTTGGACAGCCTTTTACCTATAATAGTATATACAAAGTTACTGTTAAATCTGTAGGTAAACTATTTGAATAGCTTATAATGTTATAGGATTTTTATTCATAAATAATAAATTACTTATTTTAATTTTTAATTCTATATAATTTATTAAAAAATTATATAAAATTATCTAAATAATAAAAATATTAATAATACTTTATAATATTTAATTTACTATATATTTTAAAGATAACTTTTAAATAATCTGTTTAAATATTATAATTCATGAAAATTATATATTAATATTATTATTAAAATTTATTTATATTTTATAAGAAATTTATATATATAAAATAATACATTTTTTATATTTATAAAAATATATATAGGGACAGTTAGTAGAAAAGGAGAAATTTACTATTTATAAATATTAATAAATTAATAAATTATTTAAATTAATAATTTAATAATATACTTATTTTTTCCTTTTTATAGATATCAGAATTCTTGAATTACTCAGATCAAAGAAAAAAGTAAGATATTAATAAATTAATAAATTATTTAAATTAATATTTTAATAACTTATTTATTTTTTTTCTTTTTATAGGTATAGAATCCTTAAACAGAAAGGTCTAATTTTTCTTTATTTTTAGAAATCACTTTTTTTCTAATAATTTTAAATTGTTATTTATTTATATATTTTATTTTTATAAAAATAGATATTTTATAATATTAGTTAAAATTTTTTTATGGTATTTTTTTAATATTCTAGTTATTATTAAAGTTATAATTACTTGGTTTATTTAATATAAAAAATAATTATCATTTTTAAAAACATCAAACAGTAAATACAAGTTTTAAACTTACTTGAAATTAAAGCAAACTATATTATTTTATTAAACTTATTTCTTAATTGTTGATTCTTTAAGATACTTAAATAATAATAATTTAATATAAAAATATTTTTATTAAAAATATAAATATTACAATTATAAGATTAATTTAAAACTTAAATTCTTTAAAACTGTATTCTTAAAATCACTTTAAAA